TTATGTGATCCTCTTTATCTGATTACTCGTTTATTGGCCAATATCCCAGAGTGGATGTCCGTCATGCAATGCGGAAATCGTCTCCATCACCATCATTTCCTCACTCTTTCTAGTAAGACAGCGTGGATTCGAAAATGAAGACTTCTTTTTTTAGGCTCATATAAAACCTACGACAATTGGCATAGTATCTGCGAAAACAATGTCTTCGGACGATCATGTTAGCTGTGTTGCACAAATGCTATATAGCATTGTAGGCATAATCTATCTTAATGAGCTAACTGTACCACGTATGCTCCACTTCTTATGCATAAATGATTAGAGAACAGCCACGAAGGAAAATATAAACTTAATGGCTCGTTTTGTTTGTTAAGCACAAGTATGAATGAGAACTAACAGACAATAACTAAGAGACAACTAACAAACAATTGTCTGTTTGGTCACAATAGTTCACAGCCGTGTAATATACCGTCATATTGCATGGGAATCTACTGCTTCCTCGAATTTACCTGTGTCAAACTCTTTTAAGACAAAAAAAAAAGAGTTGTTGGTGGCCACCTAACATGCGACTTTCAACCATTCTTTAACAACGCTTTTCTTATAGCACCCAATTTGGCTCATACCATATTTTTATTGCTATTAAGCCTACTCGCAAAGAAGAAATCAGAAATATTGAAATGTTTATCTAATGGCCTGAAAAGCAATATTTTGCCAAACTGATAATTTTATGTAAATATTAAAACAGAACTTTCCGGAATTATTATTAGTTCAAGCAGAAGTGAAAATGTTGCACCATAAAAATCCCCAGAAAAAACCATGTACTTTTTGCTCCCATATATTGCTTTGCTTTTCTTTTATTAGCTTTACAAATACCGTCTGGTCAAGTTGTAATACCTGTCTTTGTGCATTGCGTAATGCTGTTTGAGCATAATTGTGTTGTTTTTCATGAAAATGACTTGTTGCTTTATTTTCGCATCTGGAAGTGAAACACTAGATACTCATGAGGGTTATTTTTTGTGCAATTTCTTTTGCCTCTTTTATTTGAGAGAAGTTTGAATTTAGTGAACAATAAGATACTCAATAAAAGAGTGACTCAACTAAAAGTTAACTCATATAAATGTTCAGTGCAATACGCAACGGAACTGAGCACAGCGAAGATTAGGTCAATTTTTTGGAATGCAATATATTTTGAAAAGAACTGTGTAATTTAAATTTTGACTGGTGCCCTTATAGCACAAGAAAACACAAAGCTGTCCAGAGAGTCTACGCTTCCGTACGCTGCCTTGGGCACAGCTTTTTCTTGTGACACAAAGTTTCGCAATTTTATGATTCATCTACAGCCTCGGCTAGAGGACAGTACTTGAACCTGTCTCAATCATTATAATTTTTCTGCCGCACTCTTTTTCTTCCTGTTAGGAACAAACCCTGGAATTAATGTCCAAGTGTGATAGCTCTGCGCAAGTAGTGAAGGACATGTTGATCATTTTCGACTCCCCCACGGCCCCTTTGCCACGGTGGCGCTGTATGCACAAGCGATGCTACATCAAAATCGACGAGATAGCAGAAGGGTGTTTATTGTTGAAATGGTGCTTCATTCTGCAGCCAACTAGAGAGCATGGTGCAGCGTAAGGGAACGGGAAGCAAGAAATAAAGGATAAAGTAGAAGAAGAGGAGTAGATTAGGGGCTGACATGCATCGGCAACGCCAGTGCTTGCGAACGCTGATCTTTGTTGAGTTGATCGCAAAAATAAGCTCACGTCGTCACATCAATTTAGTTCAATTGAAATATTTATTCTTCCAAAGTTTGATTAACTGCAACATTTTTACATTGAATGCATAAAAATTCAGCGGGACTATTTTAGCAGTACGTTATTCTGTATTATTCAATAAACCGACATTTCTACGATTGAGAGCTCACTTCGAGCGAAAATGACTTTCAATGTTGCGGCTAATTGGATTTTTGTTGCTTCTTTCTACCCTGTTGGCGTCACTGTTATTTTATCTCTCGAGTCGTTTTATCGTAGTTTATTCCAGTTTTTGCTTTTGAATATCTGCAGCAGAGTTTTTTGTAAACGCGTTTGATGGACCAGAGCTAGACAAGCTGCTTCTCAGCTTTTGTTTCCAGCCTCCCACATCTCATTGGTGAAGGATAAAGGACCTGAAGGTATTTTTATATCTGCTAGTGGCTAGATCGGGCTCCTTTGCTGTTCTTATATAATGCATCACTGTCCTCTCTTTGTGTTTCATCGCGATAATATCGCTATATATCCGCAGTGTTCGTTCCATTTATGTACTAAAACTATCGACCTTGATAGCCCCATCCAGCAGTGGTCATAGTAAAGTACTGGCTTGGTGTCTTGTCATGAGAGACATGCATGAAATACAGGGATTCCTTTCCAATGCAAGCTGGTTGTTTATAAATCGTCTACGTATGCTACGGGTCACACTCACCCCCTTTTCTCCGCCAACCCTTTTGTAATGCAATAAGTTAGTAAAGCACCATACCGGCTGCTTCACATCTTCAGATAACATCAAACGTCATCAATCGTACATAAATGAAGCGGTTCGCCAGAAATAAATGAAAAATAATGCAGTTTAAAAAAAAACCATTCGACGTTTTATACGCAGAGCGTGCTCAACAAAAAAAAATTTAAGCAACTTCGTCCTGACCATGATAAACCCGAAGGGAGTGTGCAGTTGGGCAGCCTGTTTTGGTTCTTTTAGGTTTTGTTCTTCTTTCTTCCTCTATTTTTTTTCTTTTTTTCACTTTTCCACTTCTTCCTGGTTTTTTTTTTAGAGCTACCAATTTCCGTTTTGTTTCCTATATTTTTCTTTTTCTAGCTCTCTATTTCTCACTCTTTTCTTAGCTTTTTCTATTTTTTACATGGCTTTGCCTGCGATTCGCCATGTCACGACAGTGTACTATAGTCTGGGGCCCTTCAAGATCCCCACACTTAATATCGCAAATGAAGCCACTAAAAACGTTAGGAAGAAGACTCTGGCGTGCTCGCGCGCTCCGTATAATACATGTCGTTATGCTCTACCTGGTTTCACCCGAGTTGCGCCAAGTGATGACGGAAACATACGCATTTTATCAATCATCGTGAATGCACCACAGCGACGAAAGTTATCACAAGTCACGCCCTAGCAAGCCTCCATGCCATAGAACAGGCAAATATGAAGTTTCCAGTAGGAATCTCAAGAACTCAACTCTCATCACTTTGGCAGAAGCATCGCTTAATACACTATTGGTACAGCTGCACTTCAATGTAGCCTCTGGTTTTGGTAGCAGAACGTTTTTATTACAATGAGAACCACGAAAGGGCGTGGCGTAGGTTGATGGCCCCTATGATCTCTGGCGTAGCCAAAGGCATAGGGGGGATTCAATTTATTTGCAAAACTTGTCGGAGCTTGTTCGCCATGCGTATTATGCTTGGGGCAAGTATCTTGGCGTATACGCTAGTGCAGTGTACCCACTGCACACCCACCGTAACTCTCATCAAGTAGGAAAGCACCCGCTATGAGACTATGCCACTCGTCCTTCTGCTGATAAGCGAGGCAGCAACTGCACATCTGTAAAGCTTTATTTGTGACTTCTGCTACGAAGAAGGCTCATTGACAGGAGGATCCCGGAGGCAGGGGTGGCATGCAAGCAGCGGCAAGAGAACCTCGACTCGGCACCTGTATAAACATTGCCTTCAACTGCAACCAAAAATTCAAGATCCTCTCGCCACATATTTCAACTACACAATTTACTTTTAAAAAAATGGGTCCAACAGTTTTGTAGTCAGTGATGTAGTCCTTGTATATAATTACATCTATATGTATATGATAGCATATTGTGTACATTTGAGTGTGTATAGAATCACCACTCAAACTTTGTATCACGTATTTATATGATGGCAGATGACTTTGATGAGGATTCGCAGGTTCTCCTGCCCAGTTCCGAGCAGGCTCTACCTTCATAATTCACTTTGAGGAGATGGCTGTATGTTTCAATACTGGCTGTATGTACACGAAGAAAAGCACGCATGAACATACATGAAGTATGGCTAAGTACCCCACCCTCCCGAACGAATTTGGGCCTAAGACCCTGCCCGTGTGATATGGACCAACAGCTGGTTTTGGAAAACCAACAATACTTGCGCCACACAAGAAGAATCTTGTCCTTTTGTTGATATTTTTCAAGCAAGGGCCGTAGAGAAAGATAGAGTTGAAGGTAATAAAGGAAGGCTTATCGAAGGTGACCACCGTGACAGGCGTTATTATTTGATCACAACGTTCATGCAATAATTGGGAATCAAATAAACCAATATCATGCATGACATGAAAAGGCTGTGACCGATGAGATTAACAGCCAATGCTTCAATTATTCATGACAGAAAAGCGCAATGACATTCATCTAACAAGTGTCATTACATACATTTCTTATAACCAAACGCAACTATGAAGTCTCAAACGAAAAAAGAAGAAAATTCAAGAAGTGACAGCATGACTTTCAAACCACAGTCAATTCATTCACGTCCAACTGAAACATACATTCTGTAAATGGCTCCCTCTTGATGCCCGCTTTATCAACCTCAATAAAGAATGTTATCATCATCAGGGAAAGTGGTGCTCCATAAATTTTTCCTAAATATGCCACCTTGCTACTACATGCTTGGGATAACTTTTGTGGCGTATAAGCAGTTGTGTTGAAAAATTACAAGAAGAGGATCAATTTTTATCTTTTAAATAACTGACTGCCTTTTTACAAATGGTCATGAATATTTTTTTTACGTTTTAACACGGCTGTGTGCAGTAGCTGTATTCATTTGTGTATATATTCTAAGTATGTTCTTCAAACAGGGCGAAGGAGAGTGGTGCAACCGCGAGAATATTCATCTATCAAAATGAATCTCCTCTTGTCCAAATTCAATAGGCTTGTTCATTTTTAATTGAACGGAGAAGTTGTTTTTCAAGTGCACTATAAGAAAAACAATTCTCTAGAGAGGCCAGCCCATTAGTTTCGATCGGGTAGGCCAGTCAAGTGAAACAATAGATGAAGGGCTACAAATGCAGTCACATAACGAGAGGTCGGTTGAGTGCGCTTAGGCTGAAAGCCACGTCTGACCATTCTTACTGAAGTGGCAGATGTAGACGATGCCGGTACTGCAGTCGCCATCTACCACACACGGTTGATGGTCTTCGTGTCAGCTATGGCACCCATAAAATCCTTATTTACTTGCCTTCTCACTGTTGTATGTAAGTGTGACGCTTTTTAGTTTTTTTTATTTATAGAACGTGCATAAGAAATCTCTCAACGTAAAATAGGCAAATTTGTTCTCCGTCGCCAAGGTATAATTTTCGGGCATCAATATGATGATGCTCATGGCATATTGCGTGGCGGCAAAGAGGACTTGGCATAGTGCAAAGATTCATAAATAATGTGTGATTTCGAGGCACTTTTTCAGCACTTTGTTCATCTGTTCATCATTTGGGACAGTTTGTCAGCTGTTCGTGCAACCGAAAAGCGTACTTGGTGTTGAAACACGACGCAACAGCACCAAACAATACAAAAGAAAAAAAAACTGCTTGCTGTGGTGACTAATGTGCTTTTTTATTTAAAGCATACCTGCACGAAGGTCTTTGTATCCAGCCAATCACGAAAAAGTCTTAATCGTTGTGTTCAATAGCGATAGTCTGAGAGCAGCCGTGACAACGTGTTTTTTTTTCAAGAAAACCGCCGAGCAGAAAACTAAAATTGGCGCATATAGTAGATGGACATAATGTTTCAACATAGGGCATTATTTTAGGGTAGCTTAAACCTCAACGTCGGTATGGCATAACAGGAGTCTTAGGGAAATAGAAAAAAGCTATGGCATAAAAAAAACTGTAGACAAATACTATATTGCTGCTCTTTTGACATCATTAGTGCAAAATTCACACAAATTGGATGCAAAAAATAATCATAGAAGGACTTCATGAAAACAGTTCATTGCCTCACAAATCGACTATCATAACAGGAGTCTGTATCTATAATCTATGAGCGCATACAGTTACAGAGATTGGTAGCACGCTGTCGCCGTTTTGTCCTTTTGCACCAATGAATGCGCTGCAAGGTATGCAACGGGAAATGACAAGGACACTTTCGTTTTCTTCTCTCTCTCTCTCTCTTTCTCTTTCTCTCTGTATCTCTTAGAGGTGCGGCTTATTCTCAGAGAGATCACGAGTTAGTGACCCGTTATGTCGTGGTCGCCCGCAGCGGCCGCCATCACCAATGAAGCTCACAACGCTCAAATTAGCCATGGTCATAGAGTTTGTGTTTATAACAGGATAATTTGGCTTTCTGGCATCACTAGTCAAATGAAGAGAGAGAAATCTCTAGCTCACTCTAATATAACTTTGTGAACTCTAAACAACGTGCTCCGCTATAATGATGTGCTCACATGTTTCAGTCTCGACTAGCAATCGGCTGCGTTTCTTATTATGCTGAAATGTTTCTCAGAGCCCCTTCAGCTGCCTGCGCGGATGCACAGCATAGATAATGTAGCTTTGATAGCAGCCTGCAAAAATGATATTTTTAGCCTTGTTTAGGTATGTTGTACTTAGGGCTATATATTTCTCTCTACGTTGGTTTGGGCAGCACGAACACTAACTCAAACCCTGTCTGTCACAATAGCAGATTTAGGTTAATGCTTTGTGTCCACAAACTTACAATTCTTCCTATTAATATATTACAATTCGTCTTCCGTTTGATTTCTTCTATAAGTTTTGGTGAGCGCCATTTTAGACGTTAAGCCAGGTAGCAGTCATAGCAAACATGAACCTTCGTAAAATGCATGGCAATAACTGTTGTCAGCATACGTTTGGCTGTTTTCTAGAAAGCAGGCCTTTAAATTATTTTGCAGCACGCAATACATCATACATAATTTCTATTACACGTAAAATGGCTACAATAATTACTGTTGTATTCTCGTTATTTCAGCACTACCTCAATTAAAGGCCTGGGCACCAAGCGACATTAACTGCCGCCGTTTGGTTCCGTTACAACTAGTAAGTTAACCAACCTTTTCATCATAATTACTAGGAGATTTGTTGGTAAAGGGGACACGTCTCGGTAACTATCATTTGTGCGTGAAGCATGGTAGGCTGTGGCATGAAAACAAATGCAGTGTCGTGGGCGTACACATAGTAAATTTTGACAGTGGTAACACATAGGTTGATGATTTTCTTTCCCGACATGCATAACAAGTCGAAAAACAAATACAGCTTACGTGCTTGTTTCTGAATTGCCAAAAAAGGGTAGTGGCGTGTGTGGTTAGTCTGGTTGGCACATGAACTAAACGTATGATTATGCAAATTGAGATCAGACCTGGCTGATACAGCACAGTAGTAACTCAATAGCATGGGTGCTTATTCACGATTTAGGTACGCTAATTTAAGGCCTCATCAAACTAGAGAGCTGACTTACAACGGCTGCAGCAGCCTGACGGTCTATAAGAGCTCACATAAAAAATTAACATCAAAAATTGGTGAAGGCATCATTACGCAGTGGTTAAGTTATTACAAAATAACATGACGTAACCTCACAAGATGACAAATAGCACATCGAATGACGCTGTCTCTTGGTCAAACGTGGGCCTAACTCGGAGGCAGCCATGGGAAACAACGTGAGGAGCGCAAAGCCTTCGGAAGCATGAACATGAGTCAATGTAGTCTCCTCAGATAAATAAGGCGTTATGACCCTCAAATTTAGTCGTTTTGGGCGATTCCATAAAACACCGAGTGAGTGTTTTTTTCTGCAAGGCTTCATATCAATACCACTGCGTGATAATGTTCATTCTGTTTTATGACGAAACTACACCTGCCTGTTATTCAGCTTTATTGACAAGTTTGGATAATATCTTATGATAAAAGAATATCCTGAACAGAAGAGAATGTTAGGCTAATTGGTGGTTCATGCTTAGGATGTAAAAACAGCACAACACGCGGCCTAGGTCGTCTCTTCTTGAGGCCTTGTTTCCTTTGTTGCGCTGTTTTTATATTCCAAGGAATATCCTGAAAACAAATACACCAGTATTACTACTTCCACATATTTAGAGCGCGTTCGAAATCAAGAGAGAAAGGCCGACGAGAAAGGTCGACGTAAGGCTAAATAAGAGGCGTCACATATACGTTGTACGAAGTGCCAGCACAAGGGCTGTAACGGCAATCTTTTGTTCTATCTGAAATGGTACTTGACTGCTAGAGCACATCCTGTGGTAGATAAGGATATTTAGAAAATACCTTATCACAATCAAATCGGCATGCCAATCACGCATGCTCAATTACATACATCACTCTCTTACACGTCTTCACATTTGTGAGGATGACAGCATCATTGTGAATTAAAAACCTTGTGCCTAGATAAGATCGATATTCTCAAGAATGTTACTGGAAAGTATGTGATTATGCAAAAGTGTTGTCTGTGAGAACGAAGACATGAACCACTTACAGCACCACAACATTACTAGTTCCCGAAAAAGCCTGCATATGGCTTAATGGCGCTGCATGTCATGGTAAACACAAAGAATCCGCACCCGCATGTAAAAAATACACTAATTCGTGGTGGAGGTAAGCTGTTAAGAAGGGTGGATCTATCGTCGTGAATCATGGTTTAAAATTTGCTACCCTGTATTATTAGCGCACACTGTTTTCCCTCGACCATTCGAAAAAGGACTCCTTTCGATAGTAATACGCACCACTATTTAATTGGCATTTATCAATTTCTTTCAGACTTCGGTGGTGACTCCATGCGTTTATCCGTGTATTTTGTTATCTCCGCACAATGGGCACGGGGAAATAGTTCTGCGACATGAGGTAGATGGCACACCATGCAAAGTAAGTAACTTTTGGTTTTCGTTCGCCCTTTTCTTCGCAGTTATTAGTAGACTAAGTTCTACGTACCAACTACTTTTCTACTTACCATCTGCAGACGAATATCCCTATAGGGTACCGAAGCTCAAGTTTTCTGAGCGACGACAACGCGGCGCCTGCCTCTGGCGACGTGCTCCGGAAAACTTACGAACAAGCGCGGGAGTGGACGGAGGCGAGTCAGTGTACTTCTCCGAAACGGGATCGCGTTCTGCAGTCAGTGCGGGGATCTTACGCCGTGCCGTCAGCTTGGCGCGCTAAGACGAGACGCTAGCTGTGCGAAGTTGCTTTTCTGTGATGGAAGCGTTTTTGGGATCCGAAGTATTGTGTTGTGGGCTGCCACGAGAATGCAGACAACAAAAAGAAACGCTCTCCACATGTAAAGATGTATCAGTTTCCCTGTAAGTCACAGCTAGAGGACACAGCCGCTTTCGCGAAAAATAGAGCAAGCATGACACGAGGCACTGTGCCGTGCTATCTAACAGACTGCACAAATGAGGTGCATTCTTTCTTTTCTTCAAGAACCATTACCAAGCACGACACGAGAGCCGGGGAAAAAAACGAGGCGAGCACTTCAACTTGACTCGCTCTGGTTAAAGCTCATCTTGCTGCTTCATGGCAAAGTCAGCGCGTCATGCTCCCACCGCACGAAGGATATGACTAACTCTTCTCGAGAATTTTTATGACATGGCCGTATAACTTTAATTTTATTTATTTTTAGCAGGCCGCTATCGTCTACAAATGGCAGTGTACACGGCTGCTACTGCAAGATACCACATCAAAACGACAATTATATGGCTTTGTAAATCTCAACTCAGCACACCGATAGAGTACGCGGCTTCATGTCGTCAGAATGAGACTTAGCTTGAGGCATACGTCGTGCACGGTATTGTCACAGACCTGAGAAAAGCATTTCCAATAACTCCGGCATCCTCATCTTCCGTAGTCTGCTCCACATTATAAAATTGATTATGAGCTTTACTCAGTTTGTTAGATTCGCTTCTCGAAAATGCCTGTCCAGCTCATACATTTTTATGAAGTCGCACTGCAGGCGGTACATTGTGACCTGACTCAAACGCACCGCGCGTTCTCCGCACAAGCACTCAAGCGACCTTTCAATGAAGGGGAGAACGCTCGATATACATCCCCGGTTTCTACTTTTCTACCAGAGATGGTACTGCCTGTTCAGAGTCGCAGCGCCACCATGCGTTCCTTTGGCTTCTATTGAGCGCTTTCACCAAACACTCTCTGACATGGTATCCATGTACACCACCAAAACTGTGATAACACTTTACCGCTTGGGGCGTTCGCCTACAATACTGCGATACAACAATCAACTGTCTACAGCCCTTTTTTTTCTCGTGTGTGGCCAACCTGCCTCCTCTGTCTTCAACACGGCATTCTTCTTTGCACCAGTCCCGAGCTGTACCTCGCTCCCAGAAGGGTTCGCAGCTCAGGTCACGCACTGCCGCGAAGTCGCTTGCAAGAACATGGTAGCAACCCAAAAGGAGAGAAAACGTTGCTGTGATAGGAAACAATGCGACATGAACTTCAATTCCAGTGATGAAATTTTACTATAAAACTCGGTTCGAGCGTCTGGGCTTCGCGAGAAAACAATTCCCCGGTATGAGTGCCCATACACCGTTCTACTAAAGACATCTCCAGTGAACTATCTTGTCCTGCCGCTTTAGTCTATTACTGACCGCCGTCTGCACAACAAGGAAATCATTCACGTCTAGAGCACGAAACCTTTTGTTACTTGTTCAGCCGATCTGCGAATGGCGGCCAGGTTGATTGACCGCTTCGAAGAGGGGGGAGGGGCATCGCAAGCACATTCCAAGCGCTTCATCATTTTTACTTGGACACCCATCATCATCGTTCCTTCTCGTTGGTGTTCGGAGCAGAGACACCGCGGAATAAACTGTTCTGTTGGCCTTTTGTGGTCACGTCTTCCTGCATCTTTCACTAAAGTATAACTATACCATTCCCCGTAAAACAAGTGCATGCTATTTTTACCTGGCAATAGCTGGCTTTCACTGGCTAATTGCTATCTGATTGTGGTCTTGAGTTGGAATGTGATCCTGTATATTCCGGAGTCTGCATGTAATACGAATAATACAGTAGAGAGGTGGGAGAGTGTGAAATGATACATACATGAGAAATTGACGCGAACGCGACGGTGCCACCACACGAAAAGGAAGGAGCGTGAGTGCTGTTCACTGAAACATAAACAAACGAAGGGCTTGCCCGCACATTAATTTAAGGTTAGAACACTCGATGTGCGCCGGAACTGTAGCCATTTTTCTTTGGCTCAGGTGAAACAAATTGAAAAGCGTAAAAACCTAGCTTTGTACCAAACTAAAATAACTGCTTGATGAGCAATCATCACTTAACATTTTTGATAAAAACGCTCCGCATGCTCTTTTATGAGCACTTTTACCCTTCTGTTTCAACATATTTCTCGTTAAGGTGAAACCACTATACGCCTCATCCGACGGAGAGATTTCACCACTGGTGACGGTGATCTGGTGGCGTCAGGAACTAATGAAACAGAAAATCGGCATGTATTGACGTCATACGGTGACGTCATCACATGAGAGTAAACAAGCCTTCCTTCTCTTCATCTTCTAGATAAGCGGCGCAGTATTTAAATAATGCACCTTGTTTGCTGGAAACATAATAGTGCAACAGAAACAAGAAACTTCATATTGAATAGAACCGCACTAATTACGCTATCAATATGCGAAACTATCTAGCATGAAGCTTCACTGTATTAAGTTGCATAATTGGGAATCAGCGTCCAGATTTAGGTCATTAGGGAACAAAGCATCGATATATTTCTCGACACCTGATAGAAAATAGAGTGGCAGCAAATTACCTCCTCTTGAGTTATGCGCAAGAAGAAACGTGCAACTATTGGAACATTCATGAAGTCAGCTGTGGTTCATAAAAAAGTGACGACTTTGTTATGAACATGAGTAAACCGTTTGAAAGTTATGAAAGGTAGGCTTGAACGTCCCAAAAGCACCATATGTTTATGAGACACGCTGTAGTGTAGGGCTCCGGAAACTTCGACCACCTTGGGTTCGTTAACGTGCACCCATATATGAGCACACGTAGAAGTGCTCGATCAAAAAGTGAACAGCTTAAATGTACTCATGGCTGCTATTAAGAAAGCGTGGTGGCGTTATATTTAGTCAGTGAGTTGCCGTTCTTCATGACAAAAAGGCAGAAAACAGTGCAGCCGTAGGTACTAAAACACCTTCTGCCCTAAGGCCTACGACGCTTGAAGCAGGTGGTGCTTTAATTCACCAGCACCTAAATATAACAGCGAACTTGATGGCTCCTGATGCTTTTTATAAACAGGTCATTTATTCTTCAAACGAAACGGCCAGACAAAAAATTTTGTGGCTGCACAGTGAATCGATCTCATCTAAGCGTGCCTTTTTTTTCTATCAATCTGAAGGAGATTTGATGTTCCTTGGACGCCCTGCCTTGGGCCTAATAGTAGGGATATGCGCTTAAATTTAACAATATCTTTAATAAATTAGCGAAAAAACGCAACACCAAAACCCAAGCAAATGATCTGTGTTCATGCGACGCAAAAGCTTGCGAAAACTAAAAATCGTGCAAAGCATGCTGGGCCAGCCAGCGCGGAGTACGGAAGCTGCGAAAGCTGCTGAGAGCAGACATTCTGTGGAAAGGTAACCACGCCACAAACGCCGTTGTTTGCCGACGACTGTGTTTTGTATTGGGAATGTATGGATTCAATAGACAAAGTTCTTCTTTACAGAGACTTAGCCGAAATCAGCAAGTGGTGTATACGATGGTAAATGCAGTTTACTTTGAACAAGGCGGTTCGCATGGAAATTACTCACAAGAACTTGCAGTCTCTAACCTCGTACACAGTCAACAATGTCATTATGAGCAAGGTTAGGCAATGAACATATTTAGTATTCGCATTTTCTTTACCTGTTTCACAGTGGGAATTTTTCTTAATTTTTGGATAGCTTTCACTTCATCAAGCACCAAATTTCGTTTCATAATTATTCGACTGTCGTATCCGCGGACTGGCACTTACATTATTATAGAGTTACCTCGAAGGCAGAACCCCATACACATAGCTTCGCGAAATCAAGTCTGGCTTGGTGAAGATAAGCTTTTGGGTTCCACAAGGATCGATTTGCGTTCCCTGTTCTGTTTTTATGTAAATCGATACTATCACGCCTATTTCTTTTACTCCTGCCATTGGTGTGTACGCCAATGACAATAATTTTTTTCTCTGGTCCAGATCTAAACTCATTAGAGCAATGTTCCGACACCTGGCTTAACGAACTTCACATCTGGCTGAGCGGTAATAATATTTACTGAAACGTAAATAAAACACAGTATGCAAGAATTCGTCAAACAAATAGGTCACTCTTTCAAGACATAGAGTTTAGTACATATCATTCTTCAATGGCACCTGTAAACTGGTGTCTATTTCTAGGGGTAGTTTTTAGGTCTGAACATGTAAGCTGGTCTGAACATGTAAGCTTTAATTGTGTTAGAAGTTATCGACGTCTCTTGGTCTGTTATACAAACTGAAATACTTTTCGGTCATTGCATAAAAGCAAACATTTATATTTATCAGTTATTCACTTCCAACTAACAAACTCTCATCTAGTCTGGGGTACAACACGCAGCAACACAGATGTACAACGTGTATCCCCTTTACAAAAAACAAGCTTGAAGATAATTTACTCTCATCTGCCCTCATCAACTGAATAACTGTATAGAAATTCAAGATACTGCCGTTCTCTCAGTTGTATAAATTTTTCTTAGCAACAATGATTTACCGGGAAATTAAACACGAATAGACCGCCTTTTCAAGCGAATTCTCAACCAGTTGTGCTGCATACAACTTAGGTACGGCATCACTGACTGGATCAAGACCACGGATTAACTATGGCACTAAAACATTAGATTATCATATGATTTCTTTGTGTATAGCACATCTATTCTTACATAAACTGTCCAATAAAACACAGTTGATTCTCGCTTAAAAAAAACAAGTTAAACAACTTTTTCCGTCTCCTACAAAAAATTTTAATGATTTAATATATATAATGCATAAGCTTACCTTTTGCTTCGAATTGTGCTTACTTAATATGCAAAGACATATACATTATCACACTTTGTACAATTTTTGTGCTATATTTATGTCAAAGTGCTTCTTATATTTCATTCTTCTTTAGATACTGCTCATTGAGGAGTTTTTTATTTGTGTAATGCGACCTGGTTTCCCTACTTTTGTTTGTTTCTGCTGTCGGATATTAAGGTACGGGGTAAAAGCCTCGTCGGGAGACATATGAGTCTCTTTTTGCCTTACCTCGTGGATATATTTTTTGTTTATATATGTGCAAATAACAAAATTAAAATTTCACCTGAAATAGTAGCATATTTTTGTCTAACCTACACTGGCAGTCATCAAAGACAATATAACAGGCAATTCAGGAAAAGCTCTTGGGTTCCTTTATTGTAACGCCGAGAACTTTGTTGCGCTACCTTAAAATTGCATTATAAAATATCTAAGAGTTCTGTTCTTGATCATGCGAGTGTTGTTTGGGACCCCTCAACAGTGCTTGACACAGAAAAACTTGAAAAAGTGCAGAACTTGGCCCTTCAGTTTTTTGCGGACGTTATTAGAGAAAGTGTCGCCCTAGGCGCGTGAAAGAATTACCCAAATGTGATTGACTAGCTTGTTCAAGACTCAGACATCACTTGAAGCTTTTTCATAACATTTTTCAATGAAGTAATTAATATTGACAGTCAATTTTTCACATAAACACCACCAACAACTATTCCGATAGAGTTGACCGTGATATTAATGTTATCAAATTTCTCTGCCGATTACATTATTCAGCATCCAGTTACGTATTTTTCCGAGAACAATACACAACTGGAATCGATTAGACGAGTCCGTCACAGTTTTTGCACTGGTACAATAATTAGAACTGTTTTAGAGTTACTGTTCACCATGTTACTACAAGTGATTTGCTTGTGGACTTGTGAATTTGTCTTGCTTATTGTTATTCATATAATTATGCTTTCATTGTTACTATTTCTTGTTGAGTTAATTAGATGTGTACGCTTGTGTACTTGTATTTCGTAACATGTATAATTGTTTCCAAAAGTATGTTTTAATAGATCGCTAAGGTGCACTCTAGTGTTAAAATAATCATGTTCTTAAACAGCAATTTATTAGATGCCTTCTGATGCCACTAAATCTTGCTACAACATTCTAAGCTTTGACCTTATTTTTTTTCTTTTGCTTTTAATGCCCTCCCATTGTCATGTCATTCGGGGCTACGAGTGCGGCACAAATTTGAAATAAATTAATACCGTGCCAGTAACTCACGGTGCGAGGTGAATAAAAATCGAGGCTGTCTAACAATATCATCTGTGATTGGAATGCATTTCAATACCGCTTAAAATTACGATTAGTTTTCGATGAACTAGAACACGCCTCTCGTGATAAGCGCATTCCTGGTTGCGTGCTCCACTTCCAGATCGCACCACCTGACCTGGCGGCTCTAGTTTGTGACTGCCGCGATGGGACTAGATGCGAAGTTTATTTATTTAAAAAGTACGCACAAGGAAGGCACACTCAAAGGACGCCCATCATTTGTCGTCTTTTTTGTGCCTACTTTTTCTAGTCTTGCAATACTAACGCACTCAGTTCGCTCGTGTTAATGTTGAAGTTTACGGGCAATCTCAAACTTTGTATGAGTGCTATTAACTAGTGCATAGCTTAGTGAATAGCGGCACTTCACAAAATGTCAGTATGCACCATGATAATAAATACTAGCAACACTACATGTTGCGCACAGGATAATGTATGCAGATAATTCCTGTGTAAAGAACTTGCGTACAGTATTGTTTGCCTATTGTCGTTCTTCAGCCGGCACAGTATTACAGAAGCTTCCATGCAGTAAACCGCCACTGCTTACCAGCCTTAAGGAGGTTTGTGTTTAGCCCACAGCTCATCAGCCCTTTCCACACGTCGCACACACGCCTACGTCAAACTGCAATTTGCACGCCAATTCTATCAAGCCGTTGCCGAACACGTTTGATTGTTACATTGCGCACCACATGCTTTAGCGACACATCACTTCCATCACTTCCATCGCTTTGTCCTAAGTGACGTCAGACACGCTAATTTGCCTCTAAATGCGAGAAGCCATTTGAGGAAGTTGAGCAACCTATTAAAGTCTTTTGCAAGAAATGTCAATTTTTGTGTATTTATAAAGCTTTTCATTTGCAGTGCATGATTTGAACTTGCAGATGAACGTACCCGTCAAAACTTACTGAAATCTATCAAACTAAAAAAAATGTCGGAGTTGACCTTAAGTTATATGTATGCTTCTTTTATTAATGGTGACAGAAACGAAAGTTCAGCAATTGTTCTGGCGTATGCAAGTGGCTCACTATTTACAAATTTATTTCAGATCCCAGGAAGTGAATCATTTACATTGCAGGTGTGTAATATCTCTTGTATTCGATGCTATTTTGAAGGGTTGATTTCATCAGCTGATTTTCGAACTGTATCTTCATTCTTTCAAAATGTTAGTTTTTAAACTGTCATTTTCAATCGCACTAGTGAACCATTAGTGTGTTTAGTGCACGCTGCTACGAGGCTTGTGTGATTCTTCGTGAGATGTCCTTCAATTTATAAGCGATAACTGAGGATAGACAAATTTCAATTGCTCTATTTTGTTTCTCAAAACACGCGTAGCCTACTATAGGACGTTCACTAGCAGAATAGTTGTTTTTAGCGGAGACTTTCATGTTCGTTGTTCATGGTAAAGCAAGGAGGGGGGCGTGATAAGCCAGTATATGCGATAGAAATTCGGTAACTCCCATCAATCACCACTGGCACAATAAAAATGAAGGCAACCTTAATCCGACAAACGGGTACGTGCAACAAACAACTGTACCGCCTGCGAAGAAACTACCACAATCGTAGACGCACAGTCACACCGAAACTGTGTCAATCTTACCACACATATATTCCACTAAACATTAGGAAAGCTATGCACTAGGGGTTTCAAACTTCAAAGGTTTGCCGATGTGCGCAGCCTTCTTTGTTTCTGTTCGGCTCTCTTTGTTCCCTTTTCTCTTGATTTCCTGATCTCTTTTGCGGTTTCTTCCACGCGTGTGTCATAGTTTAATATATAACTTTTTCTTTCTATTTTTTCTTTCATTTCCGTTTTTTTAATTCTCGCTGTATTTCTATTTCGATGTTTACATTCAGCTTGTGTTGTATTTTTCTGACTATTGTAGTAATTTCCGCAGTTGGTATCATGTTTAAGACGCTCGAAGAACAAGACAAGCAATACTTTTTGGCATGAGCGCATGCTTATTGTTTTACTCTTGGCTATGCAGTTTTGCCGTCATTACAATCGTCAAGGCGCTCGATAGACGACATGAAAATAACTTCTTTTTTACGCGCCAACACCCTCACTATGCTACAGCTGGCTATACTGCATATGTGGTTTTGCCTGCGTTACAACACATTGACGACAGTAGCATGCGACTGCCTGCCCCCTAAGTGCTTCTTACTTAAATTTGAAAAAGCAATAGCTAGCCTAACAAGTGTCGTGTGCGTTACCATAATCACGCCCCTGTCACGTGGTAATTTGTTGATGTAAATGGTGGTCTCTATGCTAGCACCTCCGAGCTTAGCAAAGGGCGCGTAATTTAGAGCGTTTATAAAATATATATTCAATCCTTGCAAAACAAAGAAAAACATTAGCCTAATTACCAAAAGATCACCAGCTTCGCTGTTGCATTACTCTTCGCGAACTGGAGCTGGTTGATTTTTAAATGGAACAGCTACCGAAGGTGTTAATTAAAGACATTGTTCATCATCTATATGCACAGCATGACGGTATCTTTCTAAACACACATCTCAGTATGCTCAGCGCTAACCTGAAGTGATAATGGCAACCTATGATGGAACAAAAATGTACCCTTATTAAGTCCTGCAGCGAATGCTTTATTGAATAGTGTACATTGACTTAAAGAGGCTAAAAAATAGGCGTAACGCAATTCTTTTGACAATACGGCCGTGCGGTGTACAAAGATAATTAAAAACTTTTAGCGAAAGTCACAGCACTTATTTTCCTTTGTTTTTCTTGATTCAGATATCCAAGTGCGTGAGAGGACTCTGTCAGTTGCTCCATGATGAACTACACTTGAAACGGACGAAGAGAGAAACCAGACTGATTCGAAAGAGGAGAAGTTTGGTTGATAAAGTTAAAAAGAAAATGGGGAGAAGGAAGAAGAAGAGAAAGAAGAAGAAAGGCAAGAAGAAAACAGACAAAAATATAAAGCATGAATAAACACATAAGTGCTGAACGCAGTTTCCCAGACACACTCACGTCCTTACTTGGATTAGGCATTGGTAAATGAAGTGCTTGGTTGAATCTCAGTTTGAAAACTCAGAACAGCCATAATATTGCTCAAAAACTAGCGCTCGGAAAAAAGCAGTTTTCTTTCACTAGACCACCAATATCGTACAATATGTTCATCAGGCTAGTGAATCTAGTCCAAGACAATACAATGACCCATACAGTTTCTCACAAACTTACCTATAGAGGCAAATCTGGTACTAGTGAGCTGCTGGATGCAAGGCATTGACGGTATATGTGAGCTTTGAACTTGGCTCGGATTTGGATATCTCAAAGACGTGTCTAGCTTCACGGTGAAATGATTTGCCTCTAGCTAAAGAAAACACGTAATAGGCTGTGTTTTTTGTCATTGCACAGAAACGTGTTTCATTTGACATTGAAACCTTCTGCGTCGATCTACAATTTTACGATGTGTAAGACGTATCCAACGGCCGCTAAACGTGGCAGAAAGACGACAAAGTGAGCGTTCCCTCCACCGATTTTATGTCGTGTTTCTTTCTTTCACCGTTTGTTTGTGTCATCAAGGTGAGTAGACCTCAACTTTAAAATGTAATACATTTCAATGAGGTCCGCTCAAAAACGTGTTGCTTTAGAGAAGCTTTATTTACGCAGTCATGTTTGCTTTTGAGCCGAAGCCTCACTAAACACCAGTCAACACAAGCCTCACAGACACATATACCGTAATTCTCAGTGCTCCAACGGGGCCCCTTAAGAAATTCGCACAGATAGTGGCGCAACAGTTTTCTCTAGGTATTACTGTTAAAAACGCTATGCAATGACCTATGGAACTAATCTATTCAATATATAAAAAAAAAATTTTCTTTGCCTAGTTTTCGACTGTACAGTTAACACCAAAGGGGCTAATTGAACATAATTTCACTGATGGATGTGCACTAGCACACTGAAAAATTTGAAGCCGTCATGAAAAATATCTTCAGTGTAATGCAATGTTTTCTAATGCTATTCCTCGTAAAAAAACACTAAAATATGCCCATTTTGTTGTACAAAAACACAGAAAGCATGTCGTACATAATTGGGGTTTCTTACACAGCGGTTGTTTTCCTTTATGCTGTAAGTCGAACAGATAGCCTACCATTGTTTTCAAATTTCGTCTCCTCGGTAAATGAGCGTCTCACTGCCGTCGTTTTGTTTAGCTTAAACACACTTTCTTCCTACATAAACAACTATTGAATAGCCTCTATTACTTGTAATATGTATTGAAGATAAGCTTATGTGTGTTTAGTAAATTTGTTAATGATTTAGAGTACGAGGTACCCTACTACGAGTGTGCATAAAGCCGTCCTATCGAAGATATGGGCCGCACGTGTCGCCAAGCTACAGTTTGTGAAAAATCTCGTGGTGGCAAAAACACAGACATGCGGTTGCACACAAATGGCCCTCGAAAAAGCACCGGCCACAAGCTTATTTTTTTGCATTGATTTCTAGTAATTTATGCTCTCTCAATCACAGGCCTTTCCCCGATGTGCCATTTCTAGTACACTAATATCATTATTTACGTTATTTACGCGCGACAGCATTAATAAGCCGGAGACGGATTCAAAAAACTCACTTAAAAAAACATTTTTGCGCAAGAGAAATTTTGTTGCGTAGGTCGATTCACGAAACAAAAAAAAAACGTCGTAAGATGCCATGGTTGTCACATCCGCCACTGATATAAAGCGTGCTGTGACTGCCCGGGAACGTGTAATCGATGGTGATGCAGTTGCTATATTTGCTTGCGTTACGGAAAAGTGCTCGTAAGTTGTTTGACGAAAGAAAATTTTGCGTAAAAACAGCGTGGCTAAGAACAAATCCTTAGAGTTGTCCGGACCCCTCCTAGGAACCATGTGGCTACTTCCCAAGCCACTGTGGCTGTATACTTTGGTGCCCTGGCTGGTTTTGAGTCAATTAATTCACGCCAATGTAGAGCTGCCTGATGACTGCTGGTGCGTTTTTATTTTTTTAGGTGCTTAGAGTTTTGTGTGTTGGTTCCCTTGTACGCAGCGAATGGTATTGACAACCACCGTCGTCCAATAAGTTTGAAGTCTCAGTAATTGATTGGGTGTCAATGGCGTAAAATTATGCATGTAAAGATTTGTGGTTGGATAAAAACCATTGTGCTACGTGAATGGCCGGTGCACTCGAACGTGGCACGGCATAGAATCAACCTTATTTTTTACGTTGTTGTGTTGCACCACATCTCATCCACCTAAAAGTACGACTCGGGATCCTTGCCTCATTGGTGGAAATTACCACCAAGAAGGTTAATCAAAGCACATTCCTTGCACGCTATTGGAAATAAAAATGAGATGAACTTTTTAGTGAGTGGTTCATAGAGCTTGTGCTCTAGTGTACTTCAATTGGCTCTAACTGTGCAATGGGCGTGATCGCTGAAATGCGGCTGTCGATACACTTTGGGACGATCTGGAACAACGTGTACTTTGTAACCGAAGCGTATTAGGGGTGTGCGTGATTACGAAATAAACTACGAAGAAATCAAGCATTTTCACTTTCACTGTTCCGAAACCGATATAAACCGTGATAATATGGCAAGCAGTCGGGATAAAATGACCCTAGTAACAGTAAATGACACAGAAATTATGCAAACCCTCACGATTCTGGATCAAACCTTGGCTGAATTCATTCCTGCGACAATTACCAGCTGCTTAACTTGCTGCACGAACATCATTCAAAGGTAGAGCGAGCCACTGACATGTATTTTGTGCGATGCAGCGACCACTTGACCGGGGAATATTTGCGTTGGGAAGGTGAATCCCGCGTCGCATGCTCTGACCGAAGCAGACGACAAACGCGAGCAGACGACGGCTTGGCTGACAGGGGCCGCTTGGGATTGGTTGTGAAGCAGTACCCTCAACATCAACTCACTCCGTGACGTTGCCAAAACACTTCTTTCGTCTGACACGTCTGTCTTGTTCATCATATCCCCCCCCCCTTGCCCATAAGAGCAAATTTTGTTACGCTGTGAAAATGCGCAAGTACTTTCAAAGAGCTCTCTTACGTGCTGTGTAGTTGTCGAAAACAACATGGTGCCGTAAACAGCATATCGGTCGGTGCGAAGTTTAGCAAACGCTTTTTGCATGAGTTATTTCAGCGTTCGACTGGATGCGTTGTGATTACGGTGGCTCTTTCGGTGCGTTCGGTGCGTGTAAGCAGTGTAGAAAACTGCGGCAGTGCAATGGTGTACGGTGAAGCTCAGCGAAGCCTGTGCGTCGGTACGTTCATCAAGCGCAGACCGGCGCCGTTGTGTCGACGGCAACTAGTACTCGAGAAGCCTGCAATATGTGATTGTGTGCCGGTAACAGTTCGTTCGCTTGACTTTCCAGTCCCTCAGTTGGGTGCTGTGCCACGTTTCTGATTGACAGCGCTTTGGCACGTTATTTGAGTGACCCCAAGTACTTACGGAAACGTATGAACCATGCGTTGTGTTTGGTTGTTGCTTCGCCACTGGTTAGCCCATTCGCTTCTATTTTCTTGAGAGCAATATAGTGTTCGGGAGTAAAACTATGTTTGTTCTGAACAGTGGTGCTGTGTTGACGTTTCCAAGACTGGTGGAGAATCTCTGCTCATTTGACCGAAAATTGAAAGACAGCGTTGATAACTGAATGTAAACATTCGTCAGAAATCTGTCTGGTTGGGTGTGAAACTGGGAGATGATTAAGACCCAAACCAAAAGTTTTGAAGAAACCCGACGTATCGGCACCGACTTGGTTCCTTTCTCAGGGGTGACTGCGGAGGATACGTAGCAGCGGAGTTTTCAAAGCACTCGCGGGGTGGCTAATGACCCTCTCTCTCTCTCTCTCGTTTTGCCGTGGAGCGCAGTCCAACCTTCTCCTCCAGTTCGGCTCGCTTTCAAGGATGGCTGTCGCTTCTAAATTTATTTCGTGATTCAACGTGTCAGCATGTTCGGCGAATGCGCTGCGCTCTTTGTCGAACTTCCGCACATCGTTTGCGTGTTGCTTCAGTCGTTCCGGTAGGTTTTTCGTCTCGCCGATATAGGACGAGGAGCACTCGGCACACGGAATTTCTTAAACGACACCAGAAGCCCCGGTGACAGGAGCCCCGGTGTCGGTGCTGAGTTCCCTGGCGTTACAGATTGTGTCGACTACAGAAACGTGCGTATTAATCACCCCGCTGGTGACGACGTTGAAGTGTTCCGTAACCGCAAATGCCATTTATGTTTTTCTTAAACACGACGATATTTTCCGTCTCTTTCAATACAAAATTGAATCGGCGCTGTGTCTGTGTGCATCGTCTATCCTTTCGTCCCGTATAGGGCGCTGTTTTTCACACAGAAAGGCATGGCTTGTAGCACAATGCTACGAAAAATTCCACACAAGTACACACAAAAAGAGGTGCCCCTGTCACGGGTTTCCTAATCTTGTGCCTCCCCCTTCATCATCATGCAGCGAGACATTGCTGCACCCCAGGAGACAAAATCCTGCGGAGGGCATTGTCCTGACCCCCGCCTATTCTCTTGTTAACCAAGTGCAACAAAAGGATACAAATAGCTTTTGTTCCCGGAACTTGTTTTTTTTTTACAATTACCTGTGACCTATCCCGCTTCACGCATGTCCACAGGCGAACAGAAAGGCGAATACCGTGAAAGTCACGTTCCCTCGTCAGGCAGGTCAGCACAAAAAAGACGCCGTGGCATTCAATTGAAAAAAAAAAACGACGAAAGAAACTAATGCGATGCTTGTTTCGCCTCCAAATACGCAAGCGTGGAGAAACGCGCCGCATTTGGGTGGCCACTAAAACCAGCGGAGAACGGACGCTTTACAGAAGCAACACTGCGCATCGCTGTGGCGGCAGGAACCACGTGCCGCTCGTTAGCCGTAAAGTGGCAAAAATATGCTTGCGGCACTTCGTTTTTATAGTTATTTCAAAACTTGTAGTTTTTTTTTTTTGCTGTAACACGTACCTTACGCGAACAACTTCATTA